GCTGGCACCGGCGGGAACTAAAAGCCCGTTTTGTTTTTCGCTCCGGCGGAATGAGCGGATTTCATCGTTTTATAACGACCTGGGTTTTTAAACAAGGGATGCAGTACTGGCAAATGGTGTTGCCGTCAGTTAGAGCCCAGAGGAGTGGTTTCACTTGGTATCGTTGCCAAAATGCTATGATTTTTAATGTTCAGGGATGTTTCCTACGAGCATAAATTATCGACGGGACAGTGAGCGAGTGATAAAAATAAGTGTTACTCTAAGCTTTGTGGCCGTTTAAATTAGCTTGTCATCACTTAGAAAGTCAGAGATGAAACGACAAGAGCAAACTGACACGATACTTCCTTGCTGAGTCATAAGTGCTGTAATTAATCTGTGTCCGTCCATCATTCTGAAGCAGCGTTGCAATTGCTCAGCAGTTTGTGTCATGGAAGGAAACTGAAGCCATGGTTCAGGATGCCTTGTCCTTACACCTTCTGAGACAGCCTGTGTTTCCCATAGAAGCAAGTCATTGCTGAGATAGGTTCCAGACACTGAGATGATGCACCAGCTTTGGTGATACTAGATTTTTATTTAATCTTTGCGGTTTATTGGTTCTTAAAACAGTGCTGTGACAATGCCTACTTCCAGCTCTTAAATGGCCTTATTGTTAAAGGTGGTTCCCTGTAGCTTTACAGTCTGCTGCTTTTTATGCCAGTGTGAAAACCCAGGGGTGATAGTAAGTAACTGATCTTTATATCTTGGTAAGGGAAGTAAAAGACTGTACGCTGTCTCAGGTTGGGTTGTTAATATCCCCTGACCGCAGTTACCACTGCAGTAACTGTTGTAATCTGAGGACAGGCTGATAAGTAATAAACCCTACTAAATTCCAGTCAACTCTTATTCCTAAATGGAGAAGTGATGGATCATTGAGGACTTGGTTTGCTAATGGTTTAAGCTCTATTTTTCAATAATGTAAAAGAGAAATCTTCATTTTCAGAACCTAGAAGATGGTGGTTATGTAGTTTTATATTGTACCAGAAAAATAACCAGCTGTCAGTAATAGTCAGGCTTTTTTAACTTGCTTCCTGTAGTCTCTTGGGAAAATACTTGAAGTCAGTCTACCTTTGATTGTCTCCAGGCGTAGAAGCTCTGTCTATATTAGCAAGTATCATCAACCAGCAGCATTGGGACAGTGAAGCAAATGGAGACTGAGAACCTGGTATCTACAACCATTCCAGGGGATTTTTAAAATTTGGACTGACTCTGGCCTTGCCCCATGGCTTGAATGCCTGTTTGCATTTGGATTATGTTAGGTGCGCTCCAAGAATGCTTCTTCATTTTTGTGTCACCCTAAAGAAACGCAGTTCATGTGTTTTGAGGCTGTTCAGCAGTACACAAACTCAGGCCCAGTAATCACGGACAACTGGGAGACTTGCTTCCAAAGACGATAACTGATCTGAACTCATGGCTC